AATTAATTTTACTGGGTTATTTTAAAACATGCGGCCTAAAAACATTCAAGGAAAAGTAAACTAAGAAAAAAAAAAACGAGAAGCCGAGAAGAAGCGGTATGTTCAAATTGTTCGCAATAATTATTTTTGGAATTTATTTACCTAAAGTTAAAATTAACTTTTCAAATTTGTCTTTTTGAGTTTCTTATGTTGAGTTACTTACCATTAGCTTAAAATGACTGTTTTCTTAACTTCTAAGCTATTTTCTAAGCTATGTCATTTTCCTGGCATTCAACATTTGGTGAATTTCTATTTTTTTTTCTTGAGTAAATGTCGATAAACTACACTACTGTATGTAAGTGTAACTAAATGTAAAAATAAATGTAACTAAATAAATATACAAAAAAAAAAGATTATTTTGAAAACTTTTTGAATTTGAAGAATTTTTTTTCTCCGAATTGTCACGTTTCCAAAGAATCATCCATATACAAATTTGCCAAACGTTGAGTTCATAATGTTGGGTTTGTCACATTTTACGAAAACATATAACAGATAAAGCCTTTTTTTAGTTTTCACAGGCAAATTAGTGATGTACCATATGTGAAGTTACCTAATTTTAAAACTTTTTTAATGTTAAAAGTGTTTTGTTTACCTGAACATATTAATTTCACAGTTATTGTTCAGAATATTTCCAATCAATGAGTCGAAAATTTAGTTCGTAGCTCAGCATGGATATGACTTAGGCTTAGAGTTAACTTAGTTATGTGAAGGACTTTGTTTTATCTTAACAATCAATAACATCAAGGTTTAGATTTTTAGTAAAAAAGTGATAAGATTGTAGTTTTTTATAGAAAAATCATTATCATTATTATTTAAAAAATAATAATTTCTAGGAAACTGTTTGTTTTGGAGGACAAAAGTCAAGAATCTAACGTCAGCCTTTTTTATTAAAGTGATGCTTGGTGCAAAACTTATAACCAATTTAAGTAGAAAATTTTAGAATAAATAAAAAATACCTTGCTTTTTTAATGCTATTATAAGATACATTTTAAAACGAGGAAATCTGAACGAATTTCTAATGTAAGTGGTTTTTAGAAATCTGAATCAAATTAAAAATAAATATACTATTATAAGTGGTTTAGAAAGAATAAACGAAAAAAAGAGATTTTTTTGTTTAATAACATGTATAAAAATATGAAGTCTATTATTTTGCCATTTTGAATAGTCTAATTTTACATAAAGTTCAAGTTTTTAAATTTCTATGATATGCAACATAACCGTTTTTGATTAGCCTTTACAATGTTTAGTTGGAAGAAAATTGAACTTAAAAGTGATTTCCTAGTACATATATTCTAATAGCTTACTACAGTCATGTGATATCATATTTATTGATCATTTTCCGGAAGCGCATTGTGAATTAGAAAAAAAACATGATTAAAATTTAGAGAGAGTACAAAATTTTTAAATATTACTTAATACGTACATATAAAATCTATCTATATTAATCTCTTCTGGTCTTAGCTTGTCGCGAGACAAAATATATTAATGGTTACAAATACTAATTAAAATAAGTTTAAATATTTTTGTGTTATTCTACCACTAAAAGAATTTGAATAACATCTTTATGTATCTTTGAAATGTTAATAATTATTCAGTGATGGAACATTAGAGTTTAAATTAATTATTTTGAATTTATAAATTTAAAAAAAAAACAGTTATTTTTTTAAAAAAATTTTGGAGAAAACTTTTTTTAAATTTCAAGTTATTATATAAAGCAAATAGTATAACATTTTAATAACGATTACTTTTCGTAATAAGGTTATATTATGTATCGATATGAAGGCAAAACATGGATTTCAACTTCCGCGTACCTGCATATTTTCCAGATTGCATTTGCAAATAAACTAGGTTAAACTGCGCACAATTTTTCAGGAACGTCAACAGTTTCCCAAAAATGTGACGGCAGATGTGAGTTATTAAGATGATGAATAATTTACTTGAATAATCTGATTTCAAGACATAAAAATAAATGTTATATGACTTTGCAAATATTTTTGTAACTGTAAAATTTCAGAATTTTAACTCTGAAACTCTCAAGATATGGTTTTTCAAACTCTATTACCTAATAATCTAAAGGCTAATATCTTACTGTTTTTCGAACAGTAAGATATTAGTCTTTTTAAAAAAACATTTGGAAGCATATATAGGAAGAATAATTTTTAGATTTGATACTGAAAGATTAATACTAATTTATATTGATTTATATTGATTTTATAAATTATACAATAAATAACATAATATTAAATTCCTCATGTAATAATTCCTTAATACTGCATATTGAAAATACAATATAATGACATCATGAATTCATAGCAAAAACTACCTTTTTAGTATAATTTATCCTTAGTGAAAAATACTAAAATAATAATAAAAATAATATGCTGACTAATATATCAGTTACATTAAAAAATAAGCGAAATTCGTTTGAAAAGTGGACTAATAAATTGAGGTTTTTTAAAATTCCAAATTTTTTTAATAACATTTTTGCGATTAAACTTTGCGAAATTACACTAAAAAGTATCGACACTTTTTATCGCAGAATTCTTTTTTACCATAACATATTACGGGATAAAAAAATTTGATATACCATAATTTTTACAGTAATAACTACCATAAAATCCCAGAATCCCTTTAATTAGATAAATATTACTGTGAAAATTACGGAATAATATTTTACGATAAAAATAGATTTTACGTTAAAATGAGCTTTATGGATGATGTACCTAAAGTGCCGGTACTTTATACCATGATTTCATCCAGAATTTTCTACAGTGTAGTAATTTCTGCAAAAGTATTTGCAAATGTCAATTATAAGCTCTATTTGTAAATAATGGAGTACTTTTGCGAATGACAATCGCAATTTCAATAGAATTACTGATGTAACTTAAAATATTTCACTAAAATGTGTGTGTTAAAATATTCCTGTATCTTAGTATAATATGGAAATACTAAAAAAAAAAATCAAACCTGTTAATACAAAAGTATTATTCAAACCGAATTATTTCTATCAAATTGACATTTAATAGCGAATTACTTAATTAAGAACTTGGAAATGAAATGTTTTCAAAAAGAATTTTTTTTAACTCATTAAAATACATGATGTTCCTTTTAACAATTTACGATTAGTCTTGTTGCTATTGTATCTATGTCATTAATTATATCCCAAGTATACTATTTGCAAGTAATTTTTCAACTTCTTGCAACAAATAAGTATTGTATTGCAAAAGTTCAGCAATGTATTTCCATCAGTAATGATTTAGCACATCGCAGGAGTAATTCAATTGCAGTAACATGTCTTATTATCGTAGCAATATACTTCTTATTGCAGCTCAAAATAATATTTTAAATAAATAATAATCTAGATGTTGAAAGATTCTTCTTTTAGATAAAAATAAATAAATTTTAATAATGAAAGAACGTTTATATATCCTCGTAAAAAGTTCTGTCAAATCAAGAGAAAAAAGTCTCTATGGACTGAATAGTTTGTTCAGTTGTTCAGCTATGAAATTCCACATTATTTTTCCGAGGAAATACTCAGAAAAATATCAACTGTTGCATTCTTTGACTTTTGTCAATTGTTTCGCTTTAGTAACGGCTTCCTACAACGAGCGATGAGCTATAATAGTTATTCCTCTGACACCACTTGAAGTCTAACAAGAACACGCCTTCCAAATGGATTCATCGACTTTCAAAGAAACAAAAATTTACTAGATTTTTATATTATATTTTTTTTAAAAAGCATGTTTTATCTTTTTAATAGTATTTTTAATCATCGGACAGTGTTCTTGTTCTAGCACTACTTTAACATTTCCGATTTACCTGGAAGTCCACTTTTAAGAAGTTCCCAGGAAAATATTAATGAAGAAGAGAAATTCGCCTACTCATTTTTTCTGAATAAAATATTTCTCAGGACAAATGTCATGGACAATTAGTAGTTTATGTTATTAGAACAGATTTGTGTCAAAATTTGCAATAATCTTTAAAAAAATCTTGTGAACTGCTAGGTGAAACTATGGACTGAAAGGGTAAAACTATAGTGAACTTGTGGACTGAAAAGGGGAAACTATATTTTTGAAATTAAATTTGAATAATTCCTTTTAAAGTCATGCGTTAAGTGTGAATTCTTTGCATTTTTTTTGTTATTTACTCATATTTCCTTAAAAATCATAGTTTAGTCAATTTTATTTATTATTATTTTTAATACTACATTATTATACTATATCATGGCGAAAGTAGAATTAGTTGCAAAATTAGGGCTTTTAAAGTTATTCAATTTCTTTTATTATTTATTTATGAAGATAGCTCGATATTTTTTCTTGTATTACATAATTAATGGTTTGACTGCAAAAACTGCCAGAAAATTGTTGTTTATAATAAAAACAATATAATTACCTAAAGATTTTTCTCAAACATTAAAATTTTTAAATAACCTGCCCTTATAATTTTCCATCTACTTGTAAAAGTTAACTTCATTCCAACATACGAAAGAAAAAATCAAATACTTTTTTGAAAGTATATTGAATTCAATAAAGAAAGGAAGAAAAAACGAAAGAAAGAAAGAAATGACAGCACCGTCAAGCGATGACTAAAAATAGTCAATAAACTCAGAATCTCACTATAAATGCTCATTTGACAGTTTTTTTTAAGTATTGAAAGAATTGAATAAGTGAATAGTCTAAGCAACAAGTCGTCACGCTTTGCTTCACAAATAAAAAGAACGTTTAAAACAATAATTGACTCAGGCACAGTCATCATCAAAAAGTAATTTATGAAATAAATCCTTCATGAATACAAGAAAAAAAAAATCCGTGAAAGATGACAAAATGAAAACTAAACCAGTTGCAAAGAGCGAATTTTGTCTTTCTTACGACTGAAGTAGAAAAAAAATTTCTTTTTTTGTGTTTAAACATTTAAAATCGTGTTGCGTTTCACCTTTTAATTCTGCGCCAAACAGAGCGAGTGGGTTCGTGTGAAGGGGAACGATTTGTATTTCATTTCACGCATTTCGTCGTCACGGTAACGTAGAATCTGATGCGCGCGCATTAGATCTTGTCTGATATTTTCACTGCTGCCAACTGGAAGAGAAAAAGTGAAACTTTCATTACTCTTATGGCAGCCATCACCCCGAGTAACGCCAATGCCATAGTAAGTGTCAATTGTTATAATTTTCTCTACTATTATTGACAATGTATTTTAATAAGAAAAAAATGGCTTAAAATTTCATTTTTTTTTTCGTTCTTATTTTGGACAAACTTTCATTTTGTTTTAATATTGCGAGCAGAGTAATTTTTAGTTTTTTAAAGCAAAGAAGAGAATATAGTTAAATCTGAAAACTAGGCATAGATATACATTTAAAGTTCTCCAGCTATATTTAAATAATAACGGAAATAATTTTTAAAAAACTGAAGCAATGACATAGCTAAGGCATTTTTTTTAAAGAATTGTTAAATTCTCAAAGAAGTCATCCATAATTAATGCGTTTTTTAAAAGGATGTATCCTATATTGTTTAACTACTTCTAAGTATATATGCTAGAACTGATTAAACAATATACAATATGGTATACTCTTTATTAGTTTCAAGTTTTCTTTCTTTTTTTTTAAAGGATTAAAGAAACACGGTAAATATAAAAATATTGATGTGTGATGTTTTAATATTTTTACCATGTATATACTGCATTTCATCTTTTTTGATTCTTTGAAACTTTTTAAACCTCAAGATACATGGCACCAAATTATTTTTTGTTTGCTTTTATTATCGCATGCTGGTGGAAAAGAACGGTGCCAAATAGGTCCGCTTGCATTCCTCAGGCGTCGAGGGCCTCAAAAAATCCTCATATTTTGGGTTCAATTCATGGAACGACTTTACGAACAGTTAGTCGAAACAGTTAGCAGTCTACTATTCTTAAATAAGCTTCTATTTACATTTTCACGCGATCTTTCTTCACGTTCTGATTTATTCTTATCCTATATAACATTATAATTAATAATATATAAAAAAATTTATAAAGGTATATACTGCTACATTTGATTGTTTCTTTTTAATTTTTTTGATAAATATAAAATTATTAAAATGCATATTGTTGTTCTTTTGTAATTGCACTTTTTCACACAGTTCCCTTTGGATTTAGAATTTTATCAAAACTTTTTCTTTTTTTTTTTTGAAAATTAAAGAATTGAAAGCGTTGACAGTAACTTTTGATTTAAAAAGTCAACTGGTTGATACACTTAACGTTTTTTGATTTGTTTTTTCTTCTGAAACATTATTTCTTCTGAGATTTGTTAGTTTTAGTATGCTAGGTCTTCTCTAATGTTAGTTATAGTAAATTTTCGTTGCTATGAATTGGGCGATAAATCTGAAACATCTGAACAATTAGATGGAAGAAAAAATGTCAACCGAATTATCTATTTTCCATAGAAGTAGGAGAGAAAATGGTGAATTACAATTTTGCCATATTCCCCTTTCCCAGTATCAAACTATTATTTAAATATTATTAAATAATATCAATGGATAAATTATTAAAACTATTTTATGTTGTAAACAAAATTAAAAATCGCAAAAATAAAGCAGAGTTTTAATGATTGAAGTTTGGCTCTTTAAGCTATTTGTTTTAATAGGCATTATGCATAAAATTAGATTTTTAGTCTGACACGACTGTAATTTTATGTAGTAGTTTCCAAACTTATTTTTTAAATATTGAATTTTAGTCAATATGTTTTCTGAAAGAGTAGTAAAGAGTTCTCGCGTAGATATCAATCAAAAGTAGCAAGAGAATGAGATAGAAAGAGAAAAATCATGTCGTCAGACACAAATTTAAACATTGACAATGAAATTTTTAATAATAAATAACTTAGTAAATAGGGACAAAAACTGTTTTTTTTTTAATTGTTATAATTCCAGTCAAAGAATAAAATTGTTTCACATCTACTTCATTTTATTCAGTCTCGAAATCAGTATTCCTTAGGTAAATTTTTTGGCCAAATACAGATTATTATTTTTAAAATCTAAGTAATCATCGATTATTTCGTTACGATTTAGCAAAATTTTTCTGCATAAAACTGCAACAATTGTATATTTTGAAATGAAACTAAAATGTTTAGTGTTTTGTGGGAAATATTTACGTTTCAGACGAAATGAACTATAATGAATGAGGACAAGTGAATAAATGAGTAAAATTGCGTGGGTCAGAGAGCGGAGCGAGCAGGTAGAGGAGCGTTTTAGCTTTCCAAATAAATATAACTTCAAATAAATGCGTATATATATTTTTAAAAAATGATTGTCTCTAAAATTGCAATTTAAATCATATTTTTAAATGATTTGATTTAAATTGTTGATACTTATTTTATTTATCTCATTTTAAATTCATTATTTTAACAAAACAATAACAATTTTCTAAAAATTTTAATTGTGATCAAAAGCTATCATTTTTCTAGTTGAATTTTGATAAATTTCATACAAGTGGAATTTACTTTCATCTTCATTATTTTATGCTAATTCATTTCATTGAATGCAGAATATTAAAAACAGCAAGTTTGTTTTCTATATTTTTTAAATTAACAAGGCAGGCATATTAGAATCAATCTAAATAAAATTTCGATCAAAAAATCAAATAAAATGTGCGAAATCAGAAAATATAATAATAAAATTGCAGTGATGATTAAATTCTCAAACAAAACAAAAAAACAAATGAGTTTAACTCATTGTTTTGAAATCAAACTATCTTTTAAAATTTTATGAATTTATAATGGACATTTGGTTAAAAAGTTTTGGTGTAAATCATGAGCACTAGGGTTTTTAAGACACTCAAAATTGTCATCCAGTTCAACCTCTTTTCTGAATAATAGAACCGATTAAACTTTTTGCCACAGTGCGAAAGTTAAAACTCGGTGACGAGTTTTAGCTTTGAATGAGACCCTCAACGCCTCAGGAATACAAATAGACCTGACATGTAAGTGCGCTTTGGTATTTAAATAAAACATGAAAATTATATAAAACTAAATTTGACTAATCATTTGTATCACACGGAAACGTAAAATACAGTACTTTCACTACCAAAAAATCATTGCACATCTATGCATCCTTTCGAGGAATCGTTTTCGAGTCCATTCTGTGCTACGCTCTAATCATGCGAACGGTTGTTTGACCATAATATAACATAAATTTAATATTCTTTATACTAACTTCGTTTAAAAATCTTAATCTTACAAAACAATCTCACAGGGTTCTCATTGTTTTTTTTCTTCAAAAGGTGCAGAAAAAATCTAAAAAAAACAACAAAATCACTTCTCAGAAAAGTTCTCAGTCAAAACACAAAATTTAATAATTTTCATTAATATGGCTTACACTTTAATTTTGTAGTTGATGTTATAAAAAAATTTTAAGATTGATAATAAATGCATAGCAATTGTCGATGGTAAAAAAATATTTAGATAATTTCTATTAGAATAATCTAAAATAACTCGGAAAACAATATTGCTAAAATTCTTGCTCATATTACTTTTATGAACGTTATGTATAATGAAATGAATAAGAACAAAACTGGGATAAAAAATTAACCTTGAAATAAGCACTTCCCCATTGGTGTTATCTTGAAAATTAAGTCGCAACCTTTATAGTTAGTTAATTTATGAAAGTTGGTTCATTAACTCAAAAGAAACCGAAAATACTTCCTGTGTCTCTTGGCTACCTTTCAAACTTTTAAGGCGAGGCAATGAATATTGAATAACTGTGGGGGTGTAAGATATGTAGGATTTGTTACGCAGTTATTCATCATATTTATTTATAAACATCCTTAATTTACTTTTATTTTTAGTAAGGCCTAAAAGCCCCAATTTATTGAAGAACTGGTAGACATTAATTAAAAAAAAATGCATTTTACGTTATTGCAAATTTTATATAAAACAGTTAGTCGTTATGAATGTAGGAAATGCCTTAAAAACTAACATTCTCAGTGACTAGACTAAAGGAAAACACAAATATTTTCAATTCTAAATAGAAAAAACTTCTTTGAAAAAAATGCGCTAAAAAGCAGCAGAAATTTCAGAAAAAAGTAGCAATAAAGAAAAAGAAAATGAAGAAATAAAAATGAAAATATGACCACCGAAGCCGACGTCTTCAGGGGGTACCGGTCCCGGTAGCCATAAAAACAAAACTATTTCTAATTGAGGGAGAAGCAAATGCTTAAATTAACTCCCTCAGTAGCCCGATGGTTTTGCATAGAAGTCCAGGAAAAAAAACATACAATATAAATAACAAATTAAGAAAAGAAACTCAAACAAAATCATCAGAAAAATAAAAACTCACTATTCACAGGTCAGACATCAACTTCTCAAGCAAGCCGAATGAAAAGAAAAAACTAAAACCTAAAGAAAACAACTTTTTTTCTTTAGGTTTTAGCTTTTTTCAAAAGTGTAATTGAAAATGTTGACCTTCATTCAACATTCGTTGAAAGTAAGGCTCCTATACTATCATCTCCTGTCTAATTCAGGGGCTCTAGTTGAAAGAAGTGTGGCTTTTTTCGTGCCTGTTGCAATGAGTAATTTTCGTTGAAGTTTGACCATAAAAGTTCCGCCATGAAAAAGTCGGCATGACAATACTTCAAGATGTTGATTCAGCAGCTCCCTTTTAATCCGTCATTTAATTTCATTTTGTTTAAAATTATTTTAAATAGTGAAAAAGTATATTAAAACAATATAAACATAATATAAAAATGTTAAAAAAATAAAATATTGAACCTACAAAACAGTTAATAAACTAAACAGTGAATATCGCTCATTTGGTGAAACAATGACGTAATTGAAAAATCAAGTTACGTCATTGCTTCACCAAATGAGCGATATGAAAAATATTATTTTTCCTTTGAAAAACAGCTATCAATGGCAAAAAAAAGGATAAATTCGGATTAATTTTTCATTTATTTATTTATTTTATTTTTTATTATTTTTTAACATCTCTTTCAATTTTTAACGGGAATAGAGTGTTCTATATATCGCTCATTTGGTGAAACAATGACGTAACTCCATTTTGCAGTTACGTCATTGTTTCACCAAATGAGCGACATGATGGTTCTTGCAATCATGAGTATTCATATTGAGAGGGAAAAAAAGTATAAGTTAGCATTGATGCTTTTGTTTTACTTAAAAAAAT